AAAAGTTCCCATTTATAATAGCAACAAAACATACATAATACACTGGAATAAGCTTAAGAAGCATGTGTAAGAGCTATATGAATAAAACTTGGCTACTAAGAGGCAGAAAATAAAACCTAAGTAAATAGAAAGATACAGTCCTCTTCTTGGTTTAGAAAATTTAATGTGGAACAATGTCAATTCTCCCTAAATTAATTTTAAAGCAATCTCAATTTTTAAAAAGGACTTAACATGAGTGCTAAAATGTACAGGAAAATTAAATATAGAAGAGGGAGTTAGACCTATAAAATATAAAATTACAATAAAGCTCCAGTAGTTAAAGCAGGTCGGTACTAATAGTGATTCAGCAGATAAAGAGAACAATATAAACTCCAAAAACAGACTCCAGAGTACTTGGAAATATAGTTAGTGGTAAAGGTTATATTCAAATAATTAAAGTTGTATTATTTAATAAATTCTATGGGTACAAATAACTAGCTACTTGGGAAAGAAATAAAGTAGAAGCTATACCTCATACCTCACATCCAAATTAGTGCTAGAAGGATGAAAGATTTAAATAAACAAAAAATGACAATACAAATATCTAAAAGATAAACTGTCAACAAGAGAAGATATTTGCAATACATGTAGCAAAGTATTACTTTTTTAATTTATAAAATTCTCTTATAAACCATTAAGAAAAAGACCAATATAATATGAACACAGGACTTGAACAATCATTCCGTAGAAAAGAAAATGGTTTTAAAAATGTGAAAAATTGATGAATGAGTTCCGGGATCTAATGTACAGCGTGGAGACTAAAGATAATAATACTGTATTGTAGACTTGCAAAAAAAGTAGATCTTAAATGTTCTCACTACATACACGTGCACAAAAGTTATATGAGTTTATGGAAGTAGTAACTAACCCTATTTTGGTAATGGCATGTATCCAGTCATTATATTGTGTTCTTAAATTTACGTAGTTATATGTCAGTTGTATCTCAAAGCTGGAAAAATATTAAAAATTTCTCATAATTACTAAATTTAAGAAATGAAAATGATAATAAAAAAGAAATACCATATTTCCCTTAAAATATTGACAAAGATCTAAAAGTTTGGTAACAGAAGTGTTTTCCAGGATGTGAGGAAACATACTGTTTATGGCATTGTAAATTGTGACCACCTCATTCAAGAGTGAATTCACAATAACTTCCAAAATTTAAAATATGCATACTTCAAACCTTGAAATTCAACATCTAGGAATTTATTCCTCAGCACACTTTCACATGGGCAAAGAGACATATGGACAAATTTTTTTATTACAGCATTGTTTCAAATTGCATAGTATTAAAAATAACCTAAATGTTCATTATTAGAGCATTTATCAAATAAATAATGGTACATATATAGCACATGTGTGGATATACGTACATCTATTTCCTCATTCCTTTAGTTATCTCATCCAATTTCTTGGCTTTAAATACCATGTGTGTGGATGATTCCTAAATTTTATCTGCAGTTCCATTCTCTCTTCTGGATTCCCTTACCACAGTCCTCCTTGGTATCTCCACTTGGATGTCGCAGTAGACATCTCATACTCAACATATCTACACTCTTGATCTTCCCCCACAAGTCTCACTTCCTTGACAGCCTTCTTCTCTATAGACAGCAAATTTTATCCTACTAGCTCAGTCCAAAAGCCTTAAGAGTCATCCTTTCTTTCTCTCACAACCAGTTTTCAGTTGGGCAAAAATTCCTTTTGCTCTACCTTCATATTATGTCCAGAATCCTACCACTTTTTACCACAGTGGCTGCCACTATCCTGGTCGACACCACCATAATTTCTTGCCTAGATTATTGCAGTAGCTAGTTGTTTTATATCTGCATGCCCCTGTTTAGTCTATTCTGGTCAAAACAATCAATGATTGTTTTAAAACATTGAATCAAATCAAATGTAATTCTTGCTCAGACCTGTGGAATGGCTCCCATTTTACTCAGAATAAAAGACAAATTCCCTACAGTGGCCTGATAGGACCTCCATGATCTGGCCCCTGTTAATTTTGTGACCTCATTCCCTATTACTTGCCTTCTTCATTCAGCCTCAACCAGCTTGGCTTCTTCGAAGCTTCTTTTTTTTTTTTTTAAAGATTTTATTTATTTATTTGAGAGAGAGAGAGAATGAGAGATAGGAAGCACGAGAGGGAAGAGGGTCAGAGGGAGAAGCAGACTCCCTGCTGAGCAGGGAGCCCGATGTGGGACTTGATCCCGGGACTCCAGGATCATGACCTGAGCTGAAGGTAGTCGCTTAACCAACTGAGCCACCCAGGCGCCCTTCTTCGAAGCTTCTTAAATACACTTGTATTCTCCCATCTTAGAGTATTTTTTTCTCTGCTTGGAGTACTCTTTCTTGGGATAGCTATGTGGCTGACTCCCTGGCCTCTTTCAGGTCTTTGTTCAAATGTCACCTTTTCATGAGAGTTACCTGGACTACTTTATAGCCTTAACTTTTCTTTATTACATAGAACTTATAACCTCTTATAACATACTCTAGGCTTTATTGATTTGTTATGCTTATTATCAATTGTCTGTTACACTGCAGAGAATGAATGTAAGCTTTATCTGTTTTCTTCAATGATAGATCCCAAGGGTTTAGAATATGTTGAATCAATCAATAAATGAAGCAATCTGTAAGACAAATTGAAAAACTCAAAAGTATATATAACTATTCAAACAGTCTGTAAAATGTGCTGTATTTATATAAATGATATAAATGTTTGTAGATGCATATGGTATCTCTGAAAGACTGTAAAAGAAACTGGTAATAATGGGTACCTGTGGGAGAAACAATACCAGAGATGGGTAGGGAGGCACAGTCTACACTTTAGGATGTGCACCTATCATTTCTTTAGTTGAAAAATACAATGCATAGCTGAGTCTAACTCCAGAATTCAAAATTCTTTATAAAGTCTTAATTTTTTTCTTTGAAGATGTTTAATTGTATTACCACTAGATGGCACATACTTACTGATAAATTCTCAAAGAATCTCAGACACAGATTTTTTTTTTTTTTAAAGTGTTTTAGTTCTCCAAACTCACCAAAGTTTACTTTAGCTGTCTACAGTATTGGTTTTTCTGAAGAAACTTCCTTAACTTCAGTTGTTTAGTGCCATATCAGCTTCTAGGCTATTTTTCACTAATTTCTTATTTAGCATCATTATAACACTTGAGTGGTAGGAATTATCTTAAATCTGCAGATGCTAGCTTAGATATTCTTATAGTTTCTAATGTTTTTTGAATTGTATCTATCTATCTTTTCATCCTTTTTCTATGAAATTAATGAATAAAATTTAAATACTCTGTGCACAAAAGTAGATTTTTTTAAAAAAATAGATTTTTGTTTGAATGTATTGTTTGACTGCTTTTATATCAAATAAATCAGTGTCCAGAACAACATGCAATTTAACAACCACTTTCTGAATGCTTACATGATATACAATGAGATTAGGCAAATGGGTACTGTGGAGGACACAAAGATGAAATAGTATTTATTGCCTCTATCTTCAGGACCTTTCATTTTATGGTGGGGTGGGGGCAGTTATGAATACAAATAACTATAATACAAGTCAGAATGTAGTAAATGATTAAAAGAAAATATTAAGTGTAATGGGAACAGATAGCTTATATTAATTTGGGGATTCCAAGAATAATGAATTTGAAAAGAGCTTTAAATATATAGACAGTTTCGGGCACCTGGGTGGCTCAGTCGTTAAGTGTCTGCCTTCGGCTCAGGTCATGATCCCAGGATCCTGGGATCGAGCCCCGCATTGGGCTCCCTGCTCCGCGGGAAGCCTGCTTCTCCCTCTCCCACTCCCCCTGCTTGTGTTCCCTCTCTCCCTGTGTCTCTCTCTGTCAAATAAATAAAATCTTTAAAAATAAAAATAAATAAATATATAGACAGTTTCATTCTCTGAATGAACTGAATATAGATTTACATTTCTATATAAAGAGTGAATTCTACATCTGAGATAAAGATATGATCATTATATGCAAGTGGTAAATGTGGGATTATAGAATAAAAACCTGTATTCTTTTTGATGGTAAAGTTTCCAGGAAAAAAAACGGTGGTATGCATTTTATAAACTGTAACATTTAAAAGCACTATAAAAAAACTTTTTAGGCAAATTCTGGGTGCCTGGTTCATTCAGTCAGAGCATGCAGCCCTTGATCTTGGGATTGTAAATTTAAGCCCCAGCCAGGTTGGGTATAGAGATTACTTAAAAATAAAATCTTAAAAAAAAAAAAAACAACTTTTTAGGCAAGTTCTAAAATAACATTGGAAAAATTATGGAGCCAGTTGTCATTTTTAACATAGAGGTTCTTTTACTCTTGTTTTTCTTTTCAAAATATTTTTTAAATTAATTTATATGTAGAAAAAGTACTGAATTCAAGTAGAATAACATTTTGAGTGCATACTATGCAAGAAAACTATTATTTTGTTTAATACTCATGAAACTTTATGATCTATATACTGTTATCCACATTTTACAGATGAAGAAATTGGGGCAAAAGTTTAAGGAACTTGTATGAATATGTGACCTGCCTGTCATAACACCAAAACTGGATGTGAATAGAATTAATTTTCTTACAATAAGAAACTTGGCTTTTCAATTTATACCACTTCACTATCATTGCTCTTAAAAGAGAATCAAATTATTCTAACAAGATATATTAATACACACTTGTTACTTTGGTGGCCTTTTTGTAAGTTTTAAAGTGTGAGATGAATCATATTAAAATATTATCTAAATGAATCAATAATCTGACCCTTTGACTTATAATGTACAAGATTTCCCCAACTTTGGTATACTCTAAAATAATAAAATAATAATCATATGCCAAAGTCTAATATATGGTATAATGGTTAAGTCAGATTAATCCAGCTCAACATCTAAATCAAGTAGATATTAAAACAAAATTATATATTTAGAAATGAGTCTTATTATTTTTCTGTTTCTTTAGCCAGAAAAATGTAAGAAAAAAAAGAAATGGTATAAAAGTGCACTACAAGAAGCCTACCTCCTCTATGGATATTCTCATGAGCAAAGACTGGAAATGTGCCGCCTATCCAAACAGGGTATATGAGCTTTATTATTCTTTACCACCCCAAAATGAGGATTTATTCAGATGCATGCTTTCCAAAATACATTTGCACATTTAAAAAAATCTCTTTCTCTTCATAAGAATATATCGTTGTCCCCTGAAAAAAATTTTTATATGGATTAATAGTATGTATTTGAAACTGTTTTCAGTGACTAAACATACATTCTATTTAAATGCTTCTCTCATCTTCTTTACCTTTAGACTATCTATTTAAGTTCTCTTGTGTATTTCAAAGTATATATTTCAAAATTAGAAGCTGTGGCCTTATATTTCTGGGGTGAAACTTTCACTTGCATATGCTGCATTCTTTCAGAACAAAGTATTTTTCAAAATGTTTTATTTTTAAAAAATTCAAGGCAGAGATAAAAACAATCTTCAACTTTTTTAATGAGGTGAAAAGATAGGGTAAGATTTCAGGTCATTTTCAAAGAAAGTGCCCTTGAATCATAAATATTATGGTTTATAGATAGCTTTTTAAATGAATTCATCATAGGGATTATAGTAGGAAGGACACATTTTTAATTCTGAATATGATTGTCACATAAAAATAATGATTTTCGGTGTGCCTGGGTGGCTCAGTCGTTAAGTGTCTGCCTTTGGCTCAGGTCATGATCCCAAGGTCCTGGGATCGAGCCCTGCATTGGGCTCCCTGCTCGGTGGGAAGCCTGCTTCTCCCTCTGTCTCTGCTGCTCCCCCTACTTGTTCTCTTTCTGTGTCAAATAAGTAAATAAAATCTTTAAAATAATGATTTTCAATAAACTTAAATACGTTCTTAGTGATAATAATAATTATCATCTTAATTTCTAAAGTGATCATCTTAAATTTCAAAATAGATTATGAGAGGATCTGGCCTTTTAGTGCTGACTGAATTTTAAGAGTGATATTTTTTTCTTCTTGGAATATAATATGTATATATTTTTAAAACCTAGATGTGAAAATATTTTATTTGAGAAAAATTTAAATATTAACCCAGCTACCTAAGTTTAGATTTTAAAGGAAATAAGTAGATTTTAAAAGAGTGGAAAAGAATGACAAGCACATTACTCTGGTTTACTCTGAGACTGGGAAAAGAGACATTTATTACCATAAATGTGATTTTATTCCTTGTGCTGAAAATATAATGTCTCTGTTTATTATCAGTAAAGGTTGAATTCACTGTATTGTCACAAATACGATTTTATTCTTTTCATGGAGTATACATTTTTCTTGTGTAACCAAAATAAACTTTGAAATATTTCGGGGTTTTTTTTAGGTTTTTTAATATTAATGTCTTGAAATAATATAGTCAGTTATTTTTTAAAGTTATATTATAGCCATTTCACATTAGCAGTAGACACACTCTTTCAATAAATATGGAACTATGTCTCTGTCATTGTTGTATGTGCTGTGTATTTATGTCTGTGTCCTTTGGCATTCTTGCTTGTCCAGAGACTGTGGAGGGGGGTTATTTCTCATTGGTTTTGCAGTAGACCATTTTCTTGTTGAAAGCCTGCTGACTTTTGCATGCAGAATTTGATGTAATTCAGTCTGATTATAGAGAGTCTCTGCCTAAAGAGATTCTTGTCCCCAAAGGAGCCAGAATGGAGGGGCACAAAGACACTTACAGGAATTCAGTCTTTGCCATAATAGGCTCACTCACTTCATACTCACTCTTTACTATCACCAAAATAGGCACTGTAATCCCTTAGCTTCCATGGTGAATTCTAGTACATATTCAGCTTCTTACTGTGTTCAAAAGTAACTTTGAGAGGTAATTAGACATTATTCAGATATTTTACAAGAGGTGAGTAGCTTAGAGGCAAACAACTTATTTCATCCCAGCAACTTTGAGGATTTCTTTAACCCAAAATGTCTTCTTCCAACCCACAAATAAAGACTAATAATTTCTTGGCCTGAATTCTTCCTACCCTACAGAAATTGGCACACTATTATGTTTGATGCAGCTCTTTTCATTGTTGAAATCTGCAGGATCAGTAAATGATATGTAAAAAATACCCATTTCATATGGTAAGGGTATATTTAGTTTTATGAGAAACTGCCAAACTATCTTCCAAAGCAGCTGCATCATTTTTTCATTCCCACCAGAAATGAATGACAGTTCCTATTGCTCCACATACTTGCCAACATTTGGTGTTGTCAGTATTCTGGATTTTGGCCATTCTATTAGGTCTGCAGTGGTACCTCATTGATGTTTTCATTTGCAGTTCTCTGATGAAATATGATGATGAACATCCTTTCATATGCTTATTTGCCATCTATAAATCTTCTTTGGAGAGGTGTCTGTGCACTGCCTGCTTTTTAATTCAATTGTTTATTTTCTTATTGTGAGTGTTAAAGAGTTCTTTGTATCTTTATAGCAGCATTATCAACAATAGCCAAACTATGGAAAGAGCCTAAATGTCCATCTACTAATGAATGGCTAAAGAAGATGTGGTGTATATCTACAAGGGAATATTATTCAGCCATCAAAAAGAATGAAATCTTGTTATTTGCAGCGATGTGGATGGAACTAGAGTTATGTTATGCTAAGCAAAATAAGTCAGTCAGAGAAAGACAAATATCATATGATCTCAATCATATGTGGCATTTAAGAAACAAAACAGATGAATATATGGGAGAGGGAGAAAAGAGAGAGGGAGGGAAACAAACCATAAGAGACTTTTAACGATAGAGAACAAACTGAGGATTGATGGAGGGAGGTGGGTGGGGGATGGGCAGATGGGTGATGGGATTAGGGAGGGCACTTGTTATGATGAGCACTGGGTGTTGTATGTAAATGATGAATCACTGAATTCTACTCCTGAAGTCAATATTGCACTGTATGTTAACTAACTAGAATTTAAATAAAACCTGAAAAAAAAAGAGTTCTTTGTATATTTCAGATAACAGTCCTTTGTCATTTATTTTGTAAATACTTTTTCCCACACTGGATTATCTTCTCATTTACTTGATAGTATTCTTTGCAGAGTGGAAATTTTAATTTTGATGAAATCCAGCTTATTATTTCTTTCGTGGATCTTGCCTTTGATGCTATATCTAATGTCATCTGCATACCCTAGTCATCTACATTTTCTCCTATGTTACCCTCTACAAGTTTTATAGTTTTACATTTTTCATTTAGATTTGTGATTTTGAGTTAATTTTTGTGAAACGTGCAAGGTCTATATCTAGATCCATTTTTTTGACATGTAGATATCTATTTGTTTAACACCATTTGTTGAAAAACCATTTTTTCTCTATTATATTGTCTTTGTTCTTTTGTAAAGTATCAGTTGGCTATATTGGGTCTGTTTCTGAGCTCTCTATTCTGTTTGGTATAGTGGTTGAGTCAGATTAATTCCAGCTCAACATCTAAATCAAGTAGATATTAAAACAAAATTATATATTTAGAAATGAGTCTGTGTCCTTTGGCATTGATCTGTTTTTTTCTTTTTTTATTCTTTTCCCAATATTACACTGCCATGATTGTTGTAGTTTTAGAATAAGTATTAAAGTCAGGTAGGGCCAAGTCCTCTGACTTTGTCCTTCAATATTGGGTTGGCTATTCTGCATCTTTGTCTCTTCATAAGAACTTTAGATTGAGTTTGTTGATATCCAAAAAACAACTTGTTGGGATTTTCACTGAGATTGCACTGAATCTATAGATCAAGTGGAGAACTGCCATCTTGACAGTACTGAATCTTCCCATCCATAAATATGGAAAATACTCGGATTTGTTTAGGTCTTTGATTTTGTTCATCAGAGGTGTGTAGTTTTCTTCATATAATCTTGTCCATATTTTGTTAAATTTTGCTGAAGTATTTCACTTTGGGGGTACTAGTGTAAATGGTAATGTGTCTTTAATTTCAAATTCTACTTTTTCATTGCTGGTAAATAGGAAAGTGATTGACTTTTGTGTGTTAACCTTGTGCCCTGCAACCTTGCTATAATCACTTATTTGTTCCAGGAGGGTTTTTTTTTTATTCTTTTTTGGATTTTCTACATAGATAATCATGTCATCACAGTTTTATTTCTTCTCAATCTATACCTTTTATTTCCTTTTTTTTTTCTTATTGCATTAGCTAGGAGTTTCAGTACAATATTGAAAAGAGTGGTGAGGTGGGAACATCTTTGACTTATTCCTAATCTTAGTGGGAAAGCTCTGAGTTTCTCACCATTAAGTATGATGTTAGCAGTAGGATTTTTATAGATTCTCCTTATCAAATTGAGGATATTTCCCTCTATTCCTAGTTTGTTGAGAGTTTTTATCATGGATGGGTGTTGGATTTTTGTCAAGTGCTTTATGTGCATCTATTGATCTGATCATGTGACTTTTTTAACCTGTTGATGTCACAGATTACATTAATTGATTTTGAATATTGAATCAGTCTTGTATACCTCAGATAAACCTCACTTATTTATGGTATGTAATTCTTTTTATACATTGTTGGATTTAATTTGTAATATTTTATTGAGGATTTTTGCATCTATGTTCATGAGAGAAATCAGTCTGTAGTTTTCTTGTACTGTCTTTATGTGGTTTTGGTATACTGGCTTTGGTGAGTGAATTAGGAAGTATTCCCTCTGCTTCTATCTTCTGGAAGAGTTTATAGAGGACTGGTATAGTTTGTTCCTTAAATGTTTGATAGAAATCACCAATGAACCTATCTGGGCTTCATGCTTTCTGTTTTGGAAGGTTATTATATTGATTCAATTTTATAAAAAGATACAGATTGTTTATTCTTGTGTGACTTTTGGCAGATTGTGTCTTTTAAGGATTTGGTCCATTTCATCTGGGGTATCAGATTTGTGAGCATAGTTATTCACAGCATTTCTTATTATCCTTTTAATATCTTGGGATCTGTAATGATGCCCTCTCTTTCATTTTTGATAGTTTTCTCTCTTTTTTCCTTAGACTGGCTAGAATCTTCTTGATTTTATTGATCTTTTTAAAGAAACAGTTTTTGGTTTTATTTCCTCTATTGATTTCCTGTT